CCATTATATCTTCATGAAAGGTTTACAGAGAATGTGGGGATCTATCTCGTATGGCAGCAGCACTTTAGTAATTGGTCTTTTATGGAATGCAGTGGATAACATTAACGTTGTCTTTTACTACTTCCTTGGGAGCGCAGTCTTGTTTTTACTTTGTACCATTTGTACTGATTTTAATCAGTTTGTTGATGATGTTGAAATAATTCCAGTGCGTTCGAACGACATCCCTTTCAAACCATTGGTCAATCTCGATGATGATGATGATGATGTTTATGTTGCATCAAGTTCGAGAAATGGCATTAAATTTAACAATGGTTCTGTAATTATATCTTCCCATATTGGTGAATATGATGGCGATGACTCCTCTATAGATGAGGACGATGACGAGATGTTGGTACCAGACTTAGATATTTTGGCATTTCCACCAACTTCACTTAATCTTCCTACTGCCTCTTTTTCGAGCAACCCTACTTCGTCAATGAAAACATTACTTACTAATCCTTCAGTAGTAACCTTACTAATAGTCATGTTATTAATGGGTACTGCCTTTGCCATGAGCAACGCGTTTTTATTGTTATTTCTTAATAAAGAACTGGGAGCTAGTTCTGTGGTTCTTGGTTTAACGGGTCCAATTAGTGCTATCACTGAATTATTATTTTTCTTTTACTCGAGAGAGGTAATTTTTTTCACCGATTTATTACATTATTTATTTTCGATTTTATATCCTTATATATTAAATTTATATTTATTTCACATTCAGTTAATATCTCATTTCGGTCTCAGTTCATTGATCTTCCTCGCTCATATTGTAACGATAATACGATGTTCTACGTACATATTTTTACAGGAAAACACAATTTCATATATACTGGCGCTTCTGGCTCAACTACTAAATGGTATTGGCTTCTCCGCTTTGTGGATTTCTGGTGTCACACATATTGCTAACAGTGCACCGCCTAGTCTCATCTCATTTTCGCAGGGTGTCATGACTGCTGTATATGCTGGCTTTGGTACTGGCTTTGGAAGTTTGTTTGGTGGTATTTTATATGATAGTGTGGGTGGCCCAAGAGTTATGTTTGCTGTTGTTGTGGGCATTAGTATTGTAAGTTTAATTATGTACTGGTGGGGTGAAAACGGGTTTAAAGTTAATGTAAACCATTTTGGTGGTAGAAGACGTGAACCAAGATTTCCTTGGCAAGATGTAACCACCACCACCACTGGAGGTCAGACTAGTTTAGGGAGATCTAAGAGCACTCTATCGATTGAAGTATCAAGACCAGCAAAAAAAGGCTTATATGAATTGTTATCACAAGATGATGATGATGATGAACAATATCATTATGGGATATTTGGGGAAGGGCGATTATGAATTATAATTTTTAATATATGTTCATCATCATTTCACTTTATTTTAGAATATTGTTTAATAATTTGTAGATATTCAAAATTAATATTTTTGGACTAATTAATGTTAATTTCAATAAAAGTAGAACTTCCAATATGTAATTAAAATTTAAACGAATGTGAATTTAATAAATAAAAAATTTTAATGCGTAATGTTATTTTGGATATATTTATAACGATTATGTTTAAAATCATATTTCACAATTTTGTCTAACCCAATTTTCCAATCCACCAGCTACCCATATCTCTTGAACACTTTTCCCTAATACTCCAACCCCAAAAACATTATCCATACCATTCGAACCTTTAACCAATATTTTACCTTCGGCAAATTTAACCTCAACATCTAATCGTGTACGTATTGTTTTTTCTTCTGAGTTATAAGAGCTTTTTAAAAGTTGCACAAGTTCAGGTGATTCAAGACAAATCAATGCATTATTTATTGAATTACGTTTGAATGTCTGGGAATAGGAACCAGCTATAAGAAGTGTTATACCACTGGCTTTAATTGCAATAGCAGCTTGTTCTCTAGATGATCCTGTTCCAAAGTTAAACCCTCCAACCAAAATATCTCCCTATTAAAATTGATTAGTATAAAATTATACAGAAATCATTAAAAATAATAGTGTATATTAAAATACCTTTGAAACTATGTTTGCGAATTTGGAATCATAATTTTCCATGACAACTTTAGCCATTTCTTTAGGTGTAATATCATCATTGTAAGTGTATTTCCCAGGATAAATTCCATCAGTATTTAAATTATCTGCTGGACAAAATAATAACTGTCCTTTAATAGTATTCGGAAACCCTGATATTATTGAATCATTATTGATAGTTGAGTTTTCAATATATTCATGAATAGGATTGAGTGTATAGGTTATTTTTGGTGTTGGTGATGATGAGGTAGAAAGATAAGCTGGATTAGTAATCCTTCCAGCCACGGCAGAAGCAGCAACAACGGCTAATTATTTTTGAAATTTAATAAGATTGCTATAATTGTAAAATGCATAAAAATTATTTTAAAAATTTGTAACCTGGAGAAGCAAGATAAGCCAACGCATTTGGAGAACCCATTCGGCCTTTGAAGTTTCTATTAGTTGCCGAAATACCAACTTCACCATCTTTCAAAAGGCCAACCCCAAGTCCTATTTAGGATCAACTTATAAAATTTGTCAGCGAAGCATCATAAATATACAAAGAAAAAGAGACGATCAACTTACCAATACACGGTCCACAACCAGCAGGTAAAACCCTTGCGCCTGCATTAATGAGTGTTTGCCAATCACCATTTGCTTCTGCTTCTTTTTGTACTTCACTACTTGCTGCTGCTACATAAAACTCAACTCCATCTGCCACTTTTTTTCCTTTAATTACCTGAGCAGCAGCCTTTAAATCTCCTTCACGAGAATTAACACATGATACAAGATATGCCTTATTAATGGCAATATTCTGTTTTTCAAGTTCAGTAAGGGGTGTTGAAACTTTGACAGAATTAGGACCAGAAATATATGGCGAAACCGTTGAAAGGTCTAAAGTTAAATGTCTTGCATAATATGCACCCGGTGACGGTCTTAAAGGATTTGTTTCAATATCATTAATTCTTGAATGATTGATCCTGGGATGTTCAAATGATTTATCAGAAGTCAAAGATTTCAAATTTTTATTTTCGAATTTTAAAAGTTCTAATTTTTCAACTCTTTTTCTGAGCCATTGAATGGTAACTTCATCAACAGGAAAAACACCCGCTAACGCACCCCATTCAGTTGTCATATTAGCAATGGCTAGTCGGTCTTCCAAACCAATTCCACGAATACTCTCATTGCCAGTAAATTCAATCGCACAATTCAAAACTTCATCATTATTAAACATCCCACACAAAGTAATTATAACATCTTTGCCAGTTACACCATCTTGCAACTGCCCTTTAAATTCAACTTTTGCAACAGGAGGTATCTGCCACCATGTTTTACCAGTAGCCCAAATCGCAGCAGCATCTGTTCGAACAATAGGTGTTCCTAAACAGCCGATTCCACCGTACATATTAGAATGAGAATCTGACGCTACAGTCATGGTATATGGAAACGCGTAACCTTCTTCGATAAGAATCTGATGGCCGATTCCACGCCCAGCAGGATAAAAATCTACATTTTGAAGTTTAGAAAATTCTTCAATGGACGCATATTTTGCTAAATTCTTGATATGAATTCGGAATTAAATTGCGAAAGCTTCAGAAGAATTATAGTTAATTGAAATTTTAAAATACTTTTTCGGATTTATTTTGTACATCGTGATCAATAGTGAATACAGCTTGGTTTGGAAATTTAATTTTCTGTGCACCTATACTCCGAAATCTAAAGGTTGTAAGTCAGAATATTTGTTACATATAACTATATGCAGGTATATAACCTACTTTGTCCTTACTGCAGCTGTATTGTCGTGGGTCATTACATGCTCGGGTTGAATTGTCACGAAATCACCACTTTTTAATTTTTGGCCAGGAAATAAGTCCTGTGCATATTTTTGAACAATTTTTTCTATAAGATTTTGTTGACGTTCTTCCGAGGCATAAAAACGACTATTAATAAATTGATAATTGATAGGTTTAAATATAAAATGCCGTTTCCTTGTCGTAAATAAAATTGCTCGGGTTAATGAGGTAGACATCGTTTTTTTTTTTTTTTTCAATGTATCACTTATTCGCTATTAAGAAGTATTAAAATCATGTGAATAAAGATCAATTTATTTACATAACAGATAACGATAATTTAATAGCATAGTTAAACTCATTTAAAATGCCTTTTGATTATATGACATTCCTGATACAAAGATGGATCGAGAAATGAATTTTTTAGCTGTTAGTTACCACTTCTAATTGTAGCTTCCCTCTCTGTTATCATTATTATGTCAGCTTCATGCCATTGTAAAGATAACTTTAAGAGAATAAAACTAAACTTCTTGTAGGTAAGAAAATATAAAATAAAATAAATAACCTCCCTAATAGAAGTAATTCTTGGTTTTATTCGCAAAGAATGTTTAAAAAGTAACCATGAATAATACTCCTAGTCTGTGCACATTAATATCGATATGAGTGCTGAAAGTACTATCACTGATAAATTTCCAGGTTTTCACATATCGATATATTAGATTATCATGTGATCGACAATCAAAATTTCATATTGAATTTTATCAATAATTTTCGAGTATAGCATCTACAATTTATATAGGTATCGCATTAACCTTTTTAAATTAGAATGAACAGATTTTCAACTCGAACGAATTTATACCGTCTACGTCCTGCCGGCTTCTCCATTTTCCACCAACAAGCTTATAGAAAATTACCAGT